GGGGCTTTGTGAACATGCAATAGCATTTTATTCGTTGGTTTATGAGAGACTAGGAGCAAACAGAGATCAAAATTTTGAGTTCCCTGTGTTTAGTTGTTTTGAAATTTGAAATGGAAAGCAAGAAGGTTTTTAGTCGGCAGATTGATTCGACTATCTTAGTTGGCAGATTGATTCGACTATCTTAGTCGGCAGATTGATTCGACATGGATATGTGCAGTCTTATGCATATGGTGGTGTATCCCTTTTATTATCTGGTCTCTTTTTTTCAACTGGATGATAAATAGTGCATGGCATGGTTTAAGTTTCATTCGGGTGAAAGGGGGATGAGGGCAAGAGAATGAAGAAACTGAAGATAGTGTCATGAATCATGATAGTTTAATTATAGGAGACATGGATATCGAAATGCTTTGATTTGGCATAAGAGGACTCAATGGGAAAGTGCTTCTGTTCTATTACTGTTTGTTTATTTAAATTCTCTTATTTGATTATTCTACTCAACAACTTTTCCCTGGAAGCTTATTTTCTTTTTGGCTAAACTCTCTCTGGAAGTAGCTGATTAGTTATGCATTGTACTTCCCAGCTGCTGTACAAGAAAAACGCTTGAGATTTAAGATGACAACAGATGCCTCAGAGACGCAAGTTATTGAGGCAATGCAGAAGATTGCATCGCATATCAAGAACCCCACCAAGTTTTCTAAGGCTTCAAAGCTTGCCATACAGTTGGTACAGGCTGGAAGCGTGAAGGTCGGAACTAGTGAACACTTTTTTGCTATATTGGAAGCTGCAATGTCATCAACAGCTTCTTGTACTGATTCTTCAGTGCGAGGCGATTATCATTCGTTGTTCTCCGCAGCACAAGATGCAGCTGAAGTATGGTTTTAGTTTGTATTACAAATATAAGGCTTTTTCATTTTCGCAGTTTCTCATATTTTGTTTCCTTGCAGTGCCTAAACAAGAAGCAGAAGAACCAGCTGACTATATGGACATTTAGAGCAGTGATGGCGAATGACTTTTTAACTGATGACAGCTTTGTGGTACGCGCTTTAATTTTATATTAGTATGTTTTGTATTCACGACACTTTCAGTCACAAATTATTCATTTTTCCGAGTGCATCATCTTCACAAAAATGAGAATTAAATGCAGTGATGCTGGTGTATGGTTTATTTTTTGGCAGAAGTTGGGGATTTTGGAACAGTTTAAGTGGTATTGTAGTGTATTTTTATTACTGCAAAATGTAGATCTTGTAAATATCATTGAGTTTTCCTTGTTGAAGGTTATTTGCTTGACTAGAATGCTCTGTGACGATACTGTTTAAACCGATTCCCGTTTCTTACTCGTACAGAATTTGTTACTTATGGTGTTTTTTTGTGTTGTTTCTGAACTTCATTACAGTTTTCAAAAACAGCTAGTAAATTAAAAGATGAAATATGTAGTCTTCCATTTGCGACTGAGGAGGATGACATAGATGAAGCTGCTACCCTGAAAGATGAGACTGAAACTGGCAACGATGAGGATGCCAGACAAGCTCTAGTTTCTTTTGCTGAAGAAAATAACAAGGATGAGTCTGATCCATTTGGACTCGATGCTCTAATTCCTAGATCCGGGAAAAATGATGATAGAGCAAAAGGAAAGAAAGATGTGACAAATAAGAGCAGGAAAGATGATGAGGAATACGCTAAGAGATTTCTTCAGTCAAAGAGAGAAGCCTTGATTTCTTGTTTAGAGATTGCCGCTCGACGTTATAAAACTCCGTGGTAAGTGTTTCATTGTTTGCTGCTGCTAGTTAAAGGATAGGGCACTCTGCTTTTAGATAGTTGCGTATGTTGATTGTTGTATTCTTCTTAGGTGCCAGACAGTTATAGACATATTGGTAAAGCATGCATTTGACAATGTAGCAAGGTTTACGTCTCGACAACGGGATGCCATTGAAAAACTATGGGCTTCTGTTCGGGAGAAGCAAATCCGTCGGAAGCAAGGGAAATCTGTTTCGGGAAAACTTGACGTTAATGCTTTCGAATGGCTTCAGCAAAAGTATTCTACCGAGAAAATCAGCATTCGGCATTCTGTCGGAGCTAGTGGGGACCGTCGTTGTCAACAATGGCTTGGTTAAACACTTTTGCTTTCCTGTTTGTTGTTCAGAAGCATTATGGTGTTAACTCTTATCCAGAAAACAAATTGAAATTATTGATTGATCATCTATTAATCTGAATGTAATACTCTTCAAGTGTGTAAACATTTCTAAACGAGACAATTCTGGATACTTGGTTACTTCCTAAATTTGGTTTAATTCTTCAAAAATAGCTCTACTGGATTCTGTGATGATTACGATGAAACACAATAGGCTTAAGATCTCAGTCGTGTTGTTTTGCTTTCAAAGGGGGTTGAAAGTAATGTTTGTGGTTTGAAACGGTTAATTTTTTTAATATTCGGTTAACGATTAATTCGATTTGAAATTGATTAATTAATTTAATTAATTTGATTCGAAACATGTTCGATTAGTTCAATTTCAAAGAATTTGGTTCAATTAGTTCATATTTTATGGTTAAAAAATCAGTTCTAACACGAACAGTTTTTTATTTTATTTTACTCGATAAGATATGGAGATGTTCTTTTTTATTAAGGAGATAATTGGATATGTATATAGGAGTATTATAGTAATTATTTTTAAATATATAAAAGAGAATTGTAGTGTCGGTTCATGTTGGAGAATTTTTATCCTAAAATCTAACCATGACTCTCTCGTTAACAAAACCCGTCATGACCTGAGCACACCCAAATATATAAATATATAATTGAGTCGAAACTCATCGAATTTGGATAATTTGATCATTCCTTGACATGTTCTGATAATTTAGTCCCAAAAATTATTCAGATATATTTCCTTTTGTATAATTATGGCAGAAAACTCATAATATGAAAGGGTGTATTTTTTTCATTAGAAAGGATGTATTTTAAATAGATTATAAACATAAAACAAATACTTAAATAAGTGTCCAAATTATACCTTTTTTCTTGAATAGGAGCCTACAATATTTTATGGATCATTCAGGTGTCTTATATTATAAATATTACCACTTTAGGTGCCTGAGATGTAACAGTCATTAATTTTCTCCGTTAAGTGACACGTGTCACAATCTGATAATTTTGAAATTTATTTTTTTAAAGAGAATATTAAAAATAATATTATATTTATAAAAAACCATAATTTCTTTTAAATTGCAAAAAAGCCTCAAAATCCCTAAAACCCCCCCAAATCCTAACACTAACCTACTGCCGCCGCCCTTACCGACCATGACCACTGCCTCCGACGTAGTCCCTGACATTATCCTAGTTATATGTCGTCATATTTGTCGCCGATTGGCCGTCGAAATCGCGTGAGATTACGATTTTCATCACAGGGTTCGCGGGTATAAAATGTCGATTCGTCGTCAATCGGTCACGATTTCATAAGGGTTTTGGTCATCGGGAGGAAGTGAGGTCAGGTGGAGCTTCGTCGATGGCAAAGGGCATCGGTTGGCATGGGTTTAAGGGTTAAAATGAAAGTTTTCAAAGTTTTGGGGTTATTTCAAAATTTATGTGTTTTCTTTTTAAAAAAATATATAATTTTATTTTTTAAATTTCATATAATTTATTTTAAAATTATCAAATTATGACACGTGCCATTTAATGGAGGAAATTAACGTTGTTGACGGCCCAAGAACCTAAAATGGCAACGTTTGTAGTTATGCACATGTATAGTCCAAAAAAAAACTATATGTACTTATTCGGGGAAAAAGATGTAGTTTAGGCACTTATTTAGTTATTAAGCCTAAAATAAATAGTATATTTGAATGAATTGTATTTTAAACAGCTCATTGGGGTATAACTTGATTGTGTACAGATATCAACTATGAGACATTATTACAGTAATATGAAATATAATTTAGCAAATTCCCAATTCCCAAACAACTTTATTCAGACTAAATTAATAAGGAACTTGTTTTTTCATTGAAGTTTACAAGACTCGACTTTGATTAATAATCTTGGCCACAAATGCAACTTTCAAAACACTTTCATGGCTCCATTTTAGGATATCCTCCCTTGTTCCAACGTCAGTCGTCTCCCGGGCTTCGTCTAAAGAACGGTACCGGTTTTGGCGGCGGCGACGATGGTGGTGGAGGACATGGTGCTGACAATGATGGTGAAGGTGGCGGTGGAGGTGTAGATGGCGGCATTGGTGTAGGAAATGGTGCTGACAATGATGGTGAAGGTGGCGGTGGAGGTGCAGATGGCGGCGGCGGTGGAGGAGCCGGATCTTTCTTAAATGCAACCGGAGAATGTGGTTTTGGTGCCGGATATGTCCTACTCAATGAATACCTTCCGGATCTTACCCTTGAAATATCCCTGCCGTAACATAATCTACCACCTATTCCATCAATAATGATCAACAGAGCTGTTATGTTTGTAAGGTCAATGGCGGTGGAATTACTATATAAACCAGATATTTAGTTTGACCAAACGCATGAATAGAAATTATTAAATTATGCAAATCATCCTTATACTTTTCGCTTTGTTCATATTTAACACTGATGGTTGAAGAGCACTACAATGACAGGATGACAATAGAGGTAGAAAAAGTTACTTTATTTAACATAATAAACTTAAATTCTAACATAATAAACTTGTTGATGGAACAATTAGTTCATAGTGATTATAGGCAGTTTATCTTTTTTAGTTTGGACAGAGAGTCCCGGTTGCGACAGTTGATCGGTATTAAGGTTCTTTGTTTTCATGAGGTAGAAAAGGAGAGTAATAGGTGAGAAGTGGTTCCCGATCTTTCTCTCGGTCTTGACCGAGAGTTTTTATAATTTCCCTTAATATTAGTGTCAAGGTAAAATCATGATGGTTATTCGTATGTTTTATACTTTGATTTATTATGTATAGATATAATCTATGAGATACATATTATTACAGTAATATGAAATATAATTTAGGAAATTCCCAATTCCCCCAACAACTTTATTCATACCAAAATAATTTAAACTTATTTATTTTCCATTGATGTTAACATTAAATGTAACAAAGACTTTCATGGTTCCATTTTAGGATATCCTCCTTTCTTCCAACGTCCGTCGTCTCCTGGGCATCGTCTAGAGAACGGTACCGATTTTGGTGGCAATGACAGTGGTGGTGGTGGAGGTGAAGGTGGCGGTGGAGATGATAGTGATGGTGGTGGTGGCGGAGGTGATGGACCTGGAAGAAATGCAATTGGAGGATGAGGTTTTGGTGCCGGATATGTCGTAGGAAATGGAAACCTGCCCAACCTTGGAAGATCCCTGCCGTAACATAATCTACCACCTATTCCATCAATAGTTTCAACGATCAGCAGAGTTGTTATTAGACTCTTAAATAGAGAAACATAATTACATTAAAGTTTCTGAACCTTAACACCACATGCATCATCGTGTTCTCTAAGACATGTTGGTAAAGTCAATGGCGGTGGAATTACCATATAAACCGGATATTTAGTTTGACCAAAAAACATGAATAAAACTTATTAAATTATGCAAATCATCCTTGTACTTTTCGCTTTGAGTGAGTTTGAGATGAACCTCTATTTTTTTAACAATTTTTATCTAAAGAAGGGAAAAGAGAAATTTCACTTCTAATGAGCATTAAACTCACAATTTAAAGAACAAAAAATATGTCAACTAAAAGTTTTTATTCACTTACTATAAATTATTGACACGATAATTAAAAATCACTATATTAACAAGATGACAACAGTAGACAAAAAGTTTTTTTTTTTTTTTACATTGTATGTACTGTGGAAACAATAATTTGAACTCTTATAAAAATTAACTTGTTCATGGAACAATGGGGTTATCTTGATTATAGGCGGTTCACGGGGACAAACGTAAAATTTTATACTAGGGAAGTGAGAATTTATAAAATTATAAAGAATTTAAAATATATTAAGGACTGAAAATATATTTTCAATAAAAAAATATATATCTAAATTATGAATTGAATTCTAAATTGGTCTTAAACTTTCGAACATTCCAAATTCATCCATAAACTATGACTTTTATTCTAAATTAGTCTCCAAACTTTTGAATATTTCAATAATATCCCCCTAAATCATTCAAAACCACGAGGGTTATAGTTTGGAGATGAATTTGGTATGTTCAAAAGTTTGAGGACTAATTTAAAATGAGAGTATAGTTTGAGGATGAAATTAAGATATTCAAAAGCTTAAGGTTCAATTTAAAATGAAGATCATAGTTTAAGGACATATAGTGAAATTAACTCGTAAAATTATGATGATTACTAATCTAATACATATAATTGATTGAATTGAGGTGATGATATTTAGATAAATGTATAACTCCTAAGTCCTTATTGTTAGAGAATACTTTCTCAATTCCAGAATTTTATTCTCGGAGGAATTTTTCCCCCCGGAAGCCGATGAGGTACAACAAAACAAACGATCAAAAGATTAAGAAGAACATCAAAAGGGATTTCAAAAATTATTCTCAGTATTGACAGGAAGGAAAAAGAAAAGGGACATACAAGGAATTTATGAACTACAACTCGGCGGCGGAGCCTATGGTGCTGGAAGCAGCAGAGCTCTTGGAGGCGGTCCTGGTGGAACAAACATGCGTTTAGAGCCATTAACCTGTGGAGATTGAGGCTTTGATGGGACTGTTTTCCCAATCCTTCTGCCGATAATCACTACCTTGTTTTGAACAGGCAGTTTGGTGGGCTTAACTTCATGAATATCCAGAGGTTTAGCCATAAGAGAAAGCTTCCGATTAGCTTCACGAGTCTGCAACATAAAGCCATGGATGAGAATGAGGAATAAACAGCAGCAGCAACAATGAGAGAGAGACATTTGAAAACAGAAGGTAAGGCTGCTGCTTCTCAACTGATCCATCTACTTTAGAAAAGGAGCTCCAATGCTGTCACTTTCGTTGACTTGCTGTCGAGGACTGATGACTTGCATTTTCGTGATGAAACACGTTAGTTGTTGAAATAGGAGTCTGCATCCACTAATCAGTTGGGTATCCACCACGCAACTCGTACCCACTGAACTTGTTAGTTAAGCCACCATTAATATCAAATATAATAAAAAAGTCACTATTTCAAGTTAAATTAATTGAGTTCAAAGTCTAAAAATTTAACCATTAACGTAAATTTTAAAATAAACTAATATCTTAACGCATAAAATAAGTACATAAAACACTATAATGGTCCAGAATTCATAATTGTGGGCGAGTAGCGGATGAGCGGATACAAAAAGGACGAATGCCCAATGGACAGATATAAAACGAATGAAGTCTCAAATCCATCACTAATCTACTGCTATTGTAAGTATGATTTTTGATATTCACACCCGCTCATTATCCATCAAATTTATATTCATGTATATCTTAATTGAGATGAATACAGTATAAAATCCACGTTTATATTCGTTTGTCATCTCTAATTATGAATAAGAAGGTTCAGTTATCCCATTTATCATCCTTTGATTATTAAAAGTTACAAAACGATCACTTGATTATTCATATGTTCTAAACTTGTCTTTTTCTGTTAAAAATTGACGGTCATCTGAGTTAGACGTTAACCTACTGATTGGGCCATGATAAAATTATATTTTAATGATGTTTAGTAACATTGTTGTTACTTTTAAGCATTGGCTTGACGATGTAATATTTCAAACACTGACTCGATGAATAATGTAAATGGAGGATTGATCCTCAAAATACAACTCAAACAATTTTATGATCAAATTTTATCATTTTTCAGCCAACAGGTTTACGTCTAGCTCAGACAATCACCAAGTTTTCAACGAAAAAGAACAAATTTAAAATATATGAGTAGTCGAAAGATTATTTTATGACTTTTAATAGTTGGGATACTCAATAAAGCAACGCCCTATTATCGAGCATCAAGAGCTTTGACAATATTACAATGTATGTTTAGCTATCTCAAAGAATTAGTACTCGATGCATAATCAAACCCTTTTATTTCCCCACCTCTTTGCTTTATTTGCATTTCTAACATGTGCCCACCGGGTTTTACTTGTCTTAGCTGCTCACTTCATGTTTTGATTTTCTTGGAGTTTATATCCCCTTGGGATGTTGTACTTTTCAGTGTGTTACAGACAACAGTTTCTTAACTAATCGTTGTTAATCATAGAAGATATGATTGTCAGCTTAGCTAGTTGTGCTCCTATTTAGGGATTTTTTTATATATATTGCAGAGTAGTAACAATATTTTATGTTATACCTCTAAAGAAATACTCCGAAAATATTCTCAAAAATAGTCTTTTTCATGATTTATTCGTAGCCATGTACTCCCTAGATGACGACAGTCCCATGATAGGACTTCTAATAATCCCATATAGTGTCAGAAGCAATCATGTAATAAATATAATCATTTTGTTAAAATCAAGCTATAGACAATTATCATCATCATAGGATTGACACCAGTCGTCTTATAGTCGAAATATTTATATCTCGAGAAAAAACTGAAGAAGAGATTCTCTCTCTCAACTCTAATCCAGATTCTCTCTCACGCTACCTCTCTCCTCCGAACTCTCACAAAATTTATTATTTCCATCAATATTTCAGCATCCAACTATTGAGAGAATTTCAATATAATAAGTTCAAATTGCAAAAATTCGGAGACGAAAGGCCTCCAACAATGGTAATTGGTCCCTTCAACAATTTAGTTCTTGTAATTTTGAAAGTGAATGATTAAGGACTATAGACGTTATATTAATATTTTTTTTGTTAATTTTATATATTTTTATTGGGATAATAATAAAATTATCCTCAAACATTAATACTTCGTCATTTTGGTCTTAATTCTACAAAATTTAACAGATTGAGCTTTCAACTTTCATATATTATGTAAATTATATGTTTAATTTTCTTTGAGAAATTATATGTTGAATTTTTAAGAATCGGATTAAATTAACATAAGGTATAAAGGTTAAAGATTCAACTTTTTATTATCTAAAAAATAAGAAATACACAGAAAAAGTTAAAGCCGCAATTAATTGATTTTAATTGTTTACTTTCAAATTTTATAAGTAATAATTTATTTTGAGTAAATTCCATCACATGTCCTCAAAGTATGACCTTCATTTTAAATTGGTCCTTAAACTTTTAAATATTACAATTTCATCCCTAAACTATAACTATCATTCTAAATTAGTCTTCAAACTTTTGAAAATTCAATTTCATCCCCAAACTATGACCTTTTGTAACACTCCCAGATCGATGTGGGTGACCCGATCTGATCCGAGGTGTCACATTAGGCCACCTGAGCGGCCACCGAAAAAATAGCGGAAAATTTAAAAGTTTTAATAAAACTTGTAAACTTTTCCAGTATTCAGGAATAAAACAGATTTTCAGACTCATATATATAAAACAAAATACAACCTACATGCCCCCTGATCATATGTACCATACTCTGCAAGCATCACCGGAAAAAATCTTTTACTGATGTTGATAGATGCAATGATACAATTCTTTTAACCTGAAATGGTGTGTAACAGAGTGAGCTTTGGGAAGCTCAATTTTAAAACGTCGGAAACTTCAACTTCCTCATCCTTCAAGCGTCGCCACTGACAGAGACAATAAGGAAATCGGTGGACTCGGAATGATGCAAGGAACACGATGGTGTAGGACGTGTCGAAAACGGGTGGCCGAATCGACCTAAATCGACGGAAAACTAAAGGCGATTGAGTTAAAACTGACGAAACTTTCAGTTGAGATTTAAGGCGAATGGCGCCGATTCATGACGAGATAAAGGCCGGGTTTTGTTCTCCATTAAATAGTGAGTCCATTGGTGGTTTTGGATCGACGAACGGTGGTCGGACGGTAGAGAAATCGGAGTTACAAAAGAGGTTGACGGGGGAGAGGAAATTGGGAGAAAAGCAATTTGGGAAAACCAGAATACACGAGGGAGGGGGTTTATTTTTCAACACATAAGAAAAATGGGTAAATTCAGGACTGGGTCCTTGAATTTCCTGCACTTCTTAAAATGGTCTGCCAACTTTGCGATTTTACACTTTAATCTTCAATTTCTTCCACAATACCACTTAAATTCAATACTTTATAATTTCTAAAATTTAGCCCTTAAATTGGGGTGTGACAATACTCCCCTCTTTAAAAGAATTTCGTCCTCGAAATTCATTCAAGTTACAGAAATGCAGAAATGAGGCTTTCAACAGTTCTTTCATATCTTCAAGTAGCTTTTACAAAAGTATGAGTCTTCTACTGATCTTTATCCAGCTGAGTATATATTTTTGTCAGAACTCTCCCTCATTCCAATAAAGGAATTATAACAGGTTAATTCTTGTGGAATCAATTCAGCCTTGGTTACGAGAATAGGTTCATAGAGCGATAACATATCTCAGTTTCATTTCAGGAGTGGGATCAAAATTTCTCAGATGAGTAACTCTCACATTACTCGTGAGGTATTTTACAGAATTTAGACAGACGTTACTTGTATTTCTTTATGCAATGGTAGAGCCTTAACGGATAGAAAACTTAGGTTAACTCGTTACAGAGAATGACTTAACCTTGGAGTTTAGCTCAGAGAGGTACGATTGTAGTCTAGGGGCATGTACTAATCAGCATCTTTTGACATTCGATCGACCGATCTATCTTAAAAATTTTAACTCAACCTAAAGCTCTGATACCACTAAATGTAACACCCCCAGATCGATGCGGGTGACTCGATCTGATCTGAGGTGTCGCATTAGAGCCACCTGAGTGACCCACCGTAAAAATAGATGAAAATTTAAAACTTTTAATAAAACATGTAAACTTTTCCAGTATTCATAAATAAAATAAAATTTCAGACTCATATATATAAAATAAAATACAACCTATATTCCCATTGATCACATGTACCATACTCTGCAAGCAACGCCGGAAAAACTCCTTTACTGATGTCGATAGATGTACTGATACAATTCTTTTAACCTGAAAAGGTGAGTAACAGAGTGAGCTTTGGGAAGCTCAGTAATATAGAACTACCAGATGATATTACAGGATATGCAGATAACAAATAATCATATATTTCCTTATTGGTTCAGACATCTACATATTTTTATGCTGAGCGAAGATTCTACGGATATTTCAAGTAGTAACAAACTATAAACTTTGAGTTCAGATGGAAATATTTCGGTTGTCTGGGTTCAAGAGATCAGAATAGGTTGTCTGGTGTGTTCCTGCAAAACCATAGTAGTTCCTACAATCGAACGCTAATGCAGTTCACCAGAACTACATATCCTAAGGGAGTACCTTGGGGTAGGGATGGCAAACGGGCGGGTCGAGTGCGAATACCCCCTCCCCCATCCCCATACCCACCTAATATTTTTCAATCAACCACCCGCCCACCACCCATAATGGGTACAAATTTTCAAATCCACGCGGGTACATTTTCAAATCCATCCCCACACCTACTACCCACTAGCGACATACCCATCTAGACCCGCCTGACATCAAACTAATGGGATGTTGGAGTTGGTTCCCAGACAGTTCGTGATGGGGTAGCAACGCATGCTTCAATTTATCAGAGGAGTGACTCTACGAATGTTATGGAGACAGATTGTAGGGAGCATGTAGTCGCAGAGCTGGATTGTTGAGTTGCTTTCGATGTTAATGCTCATAGTGCGCCTAATATGGGTTTTGAGGGGCTAAAGAACATGAAAACTGCTGCTTTTGATGTTAATGCATATAGTACGGCTAATTTGTGTTTAGATGGGCAGCATGGGCTAAAGAACATGGAAAGTGACGTGGTTAGTGGGATTATGGGTTTAATCAAAGAGCCGAATATTTCTCTAATTAAAGACCAGATTAAAGACT